TTCTGAATTACCCTTTTTTTCGAATTGTTCAGTGGCCCAAATTATGCAAGAAAAAACTCCTTTTAAAAATGTAATTTTCATTTCGTAATATAGTGTTTTTATACGAATAGTATTTAGTTCCTTCAAACGATGCATTTCAATGTGCATACAACATGAAAATTTTGTACAAAATTCCTTAGGCGCCGAACGCCGCCGCCGCCGCCGCCGCGCCGATATTTTCGTAACTCGGCGGCGGCGTATGAGAAATGACAAAAAACGGCGGCGGCGGCGGCGTTGCCCGGCGGCGTATACCTCTAAAATGCATGACATACATATGTATGTACATAGTATGTATGCACAAAAGCAAAGTAACAAAGATTGAGGGAAGGCAATACTAATAGCATTTGAAAATCGTGATATTCTCTTGTTTGAGTAATTACAGACATTCACGTAGGAGTTCATTGCAACGTTATCACTGACGGTGGTTTGGCGAAAACTATTCCTTAAGCCGTCTGGGTTACTGTTTCATATAAAAATAAGCCTGATTGCGCGAAATCTCTTATTTAGTCCGTTATTTGCTGTTATCAAGCACTTCTGATGTTGCTTTTTTGCAGGGCTCGAACCGCCTTCAAAAATATTAATGCAAGCGCCATAACGGTTGTCTTAGCAGAGTTTGGAGTGAACCATAGCGTAGCGGCACTGATTGAGACCACATTTCTCAGCAGGAAGATAACCGCTAAGTTCGGCAACACCACGATAAGCAGACAGGTCTGTAGAGGCACCCTTTGAGGGAGGGTTCTCTCCCCTCTTCTCGGGATTCTGGCAGGAAACTACTTGCCGCTGGCCCTAGAGAGAGGGGGCTGTCACGTCACTGCTTATGCTGATGATCTGGCAATTGCCATCAAAGGTAAATATCTTAATACGCGTATGGATATTCTGCGCTCTAATATGGCTACGCTTAGGAACTGAACAGAGAGTAGGGGACTCGGAATAAACCGAAGAAATTGTCTTTACAATGAAACACAGACTTCCTATGGTCTCCCCGCTAATATTTAAGGGTGCGGATATAGCTTTGAAGAAGAATGTCGGCCATGCTGCCATACTTCACACTATAGGTGGTTATGGCCAAGAATTTGACTACTGTTTCCCTAAACCACCTTCGATAGGCTCTTTAAGACGAACATCCCGTTAAGAATAGAAGGTCAAACATCGAGGCATGGAGAAGGGGGGAATTGAATTTTTACATGACTGGAATTTAAGTGTGGTCTGCCCAATCCACCACAAGGATGACTCCGCCGTATGTGTCAACTACCGCAGGATTCGCCTTCTAAATCGGGCGTATTGAGTGAATGACTAAAGCCCACCGTTAACAAACTGATTGGGCCATATCACCGTCTATTTATCGATATCAAAGCCACACTCGACAGCACAAAAAGAAGTTGCCTTTATATCGCGATGACTGAAGCGGTTGATACGTCGCAAGACCTCAAGCGTGTCTTGACTTTTCCCGTTCAACGCATTTCTTGGATGGCGGTGTTGTAAGATTTTGTCCTTCCGTGGACGTCAACTAGCTGGGCAGAAGGCACCTTCCCCATTAAGGGTCCGGACATTGCACCTGGACTGTCTTCAAATCGTAGTCCTTTAAAAGTTTGCCGTGGTCGTCATCCGAGGCTATATTTTCATTATTTACTGGAAGGTCTATATTTTCATTATTTACGAGGCAGGTCCTAAAACCCATTGTTTTGCTTTAGTTCGGACACAAAGGCATCTGCGCAACTTTAAATCATAACCGAATAAATTAATTCGGCTTATTTCGTACTTTCGCCACACGTTATTGGAGGTGTACGCGTGAAGAACAGGCCATTCCAACTTTGTCCCCATGATCCCTGCTACTGGTTTTGACGCAACTTTATACGACAGATCAGGCGTAACCAGAAGCGCTTCAACAGTTACAGTTGAGGCAACACTATTGTTGTGTTTGTACACTAGTATGCAGAAAAGGCTGGCAGCCTTTCTTTTAGGTTGTTCAAAAAACTTATCGCGATATCTGATAATAACTTCTCATAAGAAGATAATTTGTCTATTTTTCAATTTTACATTTTTCCACTTTGCTTAGAACTAGAAAAGTAAGTAATCAAAAGCATTCCCTGAATTAAAGTTTAAAATTATATTTGTCATATTTTTAATATAGGGGTTTTTACGTTGTAAGGCGTTTCTGTAACGATTTTTTTCCGAATCTTCAAAGAAAATTATATAAAGTGGTTGACACGAACTCGTAAAGAAATTTCTGTACGAAAAATAAAGAAAATTCTGAAAAAAGTCTGCAAGAAATTCTTCACATAGCAGCATTATTTTCATTTCTTTACCGATTTTCTTCCGAAATTTCGTAAAAGAATGGAAGTGTGGGTAATTTATTTCATTTTAGAAAAGTCGGCAAAAAATCGGATGGGATCTTTCCGAATTCTTTAAAAATTCTTTACGATTCAGAATACTCTGAAAAAATGGTTTGCAGGATACATTACGTATGTACGTACATATGATATGTATGTATGTACATATGTAGCAATTTAAATTGTATGTGGCGCTCAAGTGGTTTTAATTAATGTTGTTGTTTTTTGACGTAATGGTGGTCTCCTTTGGTAGAAGCTGGTGTACATAAATATGTACATATGTATGCACGTATGTACGTACATATATAACTTTGGCAACTTTCCTCTTTGCACACTGCATAACTTTTCATGCAGCAGCAACAACAAAAAAGGAACCGTAATTGCTACCTTAAAAGTGCCCAAGAAGTCTCTAAAACAATGACAGCGGACGGCATGAGACAGGTGCAATGCCCCCTTCAATTTATGTAAATTTCTAAAGCTTCGGCTCTCGGAACGTCACCCAACGCCACTAGATTGGCTATACTTCTGTCACTGCATTGACTATACAACCGCAATCACCTTGACTCAACGAAAACGATTCGTTAAACTTGATTGTCTTCATTGCTGTGGGCATCCGTCCCATTTTCATTTCGAATGCTCCAGTTTGCGGCACATGCCGTATGGCAATACTTAGCCTGACACCAATTCAACCATCACGTTGCCACTCAATTGGTGCAATAATTGCACAACATTCATGCACGTACAAACACCCCAGCGGGAAAATACATCTTTTATCACCAAAATATGTTTAGGAGGTTACGATTGGATGAGAACAAATTTGGGGGTAGACTATAGATAGCAACGCAACTGAAATGTAAATGAAGATAATAGAGTTTAGAAGTACCAGTAACCAAGACTTGAGTGTGAATAAGCTGCACAAACAGTTGAAAAAATAAATAAATTTTTCAAATCAAAATTTCCGCGCCAACCATAAAAACGATGTAGCCAATATCTCAATTTCCAGTTGTCATCTGTAATACCATTTCAGCCACCGGCAACTCAATTGAAGTTCGGTGGGCATCCGTAATCGGCCTATATATATATATATATATATATATATATATATACGATAAATCTGTATCCGTTTTGTACTGCGACCTTTTTGATTTTAATCAAGTAATCCTTTTTAATGCCGGCTTTGAGGTCAGGGTGTTGATGGAATTAAAACACATGAAAATACATTCCTTCCCAATATATTTCAATCTCCTCCGGAGATCGTCTTCAGTTCTAAACTGCACGACAAACGAGACGGACGTCGTGGAGCTAAAATTTAATTAATCCCCTGAAGATGATCTCCGGAGGAGATTGAAATATATTGGGAAGGAATGTATTTTCATGTGTTTTAATTCCATCAACACCCTGACCTCAAAGCCGGCATTAAAAAGGATTACTTGATTAAAATCAAAAAGGTCGCAGTACAAAACGGATACAGATTTATCGTATATATATATATATATATATATATATATATA